TAGGCACTATGCTACCAGAGCTCCTATATATATATAATATATATACACATATAAAAAATTGTATAACATGCAGAAATCTTCACTTCCATTAAATACTCATTAGAATTACCAGAATTACCATAGTCTATTCATTAGTTAAGGAGCTCTGGTGGCATATGACTAACACATTTTTGGATGCTAACCAAAAGGTTGCCAGTTTGAACCCACTAGGTGCTCTACAGAGAAAGATGAGATGGTCTGCTTCCAGAATGATTTACAGCCTTGGAAACCCTATGGGGGTCTCTATGAGTTGGAACTGACTTGATGGTAATGAGTTTGTTTTTTCTTTTGGTATTCATCAATCAAAATCTGAATAAGAGAGAAGCCTAGAAGTGACATCTGTCATTGGTCACATGAAATACTAGTGATGATTTGGCTGACCTGGCAAAAAAATCTATAATTCATCAACTGAAAAGAGTATGGTCAGGATTCAATTTTAACATCAATCTACAATGCCTAAGGAACACTCAAAATAATTTTCATTACTTTCACTATTTACTTTCCTGGTAACACTAAGTGCAATAATAGCATTACATTCAATTCATGGTGTGATGTAGATGTTAACAAAGTAAATTTCAGATTTAAATCTAACCTAAAAAAAAAAAAAAAAGTTATTTACTATCACACTGTTAGAAGAGGTTATAGAAATGGGGCACCACTGAGTTTTAAAATAAAAGGAACAAGTGACCAGAACTGCTTGACATTTCTTTTCCCCATCTCTCAGCCATCTCTTGTCCCATACATTAGAGATTGAAACTGTTTCTACATTTGAACGTTCTAAGAGTATAATGACCTGGATGAGCGCCTTGATTCACTGAAGATACAAAAGTCATCTCCATCATCCCAAATTCTACTCGAGGCCTTTCTATTGCTACCACCACCACTGCTACTGTTGCCAGACCCATGAGATTTACTACTGTGACTCCTGCTTCCTCTTCCTCCTCTAGAAGACCCTTTTCCACTTCCTTTGCCTGGTTTTCCTTTTCTTCTTACTGAAGAACTCATTTTCACCTAAAAGAAAAAAAAATTAATACAGTTACCACAAAACTAGACACATATAATAATCCTTTGTTTGTCAAAGTTATGGATATAACCTACTTTAAAGAAACATAAGAATAATTTTCCTAAGATCAAGAATTTCATGTTACCTCTACCTTTTTCTTTGTTCTACTTTATGACTTCTCTCTTGTCCTTGCATTTTTGCAATTGCTCATGACATTCCTACTGCTAGCAATGTCATTGCCCATTTGCACAAATTGAGTTTAAATTTCATGTATCCTTCAAAGTTCAAGAGAAATTTCCCCCTGGCTTCCTGCCAAATCTTCTGATAACCTAGAATTAATCTCAGAGGGTAGGACCCTGGCCATGAATACTACTATTACTACCATATTTGCATTAGTTTATTTTTTAAACCAAAACACTAAGTCACATAGTGAAAAAAAAAAAAATCAAGTAGTAACAAAATAAGTCTCTTTCCAACTCAGAATCACAGGATGTAAACTTTGAAAAATAGTATATGAATGCACACTGTGTGTGT